GTTGTGGCATGCTAGACTAGGACATGTTCATTACAAACGTGTTAACGTTATGTCGGAAATAGATTTAATTCCACCGTGCACGTTGAATGATGGAAAATGTATTACATGCATGAAAACAAAAATAACCCGTCATTCTTTTTCTAGCATAGAACGAAGTTCGGAAATATTAGAACTAGTACATAGTGATCTATGTGACTTGCATAGTACACCATCCTTAGGAAATAAGAAGTACGTAGTTACATTCATAGAAGATGCTACTCGGTTTTGCTACGTGTTTTTGTAGCATTCAAAGGATGCAGGTCTTGATAGGTTTAGAGCGTATAAATCCGAAGTTGAGTTACAACTCAGGGTTAAGCTAAAGAAGCTTAGGACCGATAGGGGAGGGGAATACTATGATCCTACGTATTTTGAATCCGTAGGAGTGATTCATGAGACTACCGCACCGTACACACCGCAACAAAATGGTGTAGCGGAAAGGAAAAATAGGGTCTTGAAAGAAATGGTTAATTCCATGCTTTCATACTCGGGTTTAAGTAAGGGTTTTTGGAGTGAAGCCATGTTAACGACTTGCTATATTCTGAACCGAGTTCCATCTAAAAGGAACAAGGTAACCCCATATGAACTTTGGTACAAGCGGAAACCGAATCTGAATTATTTTCGGATTTGGGGATGTCAGGCAATAGTAAAAGTCCCGGAACCAAAGCGAAAAACTTTGGGAGATAGAGGAATTGAATGTATCTTCATAGGTTATGCTTTACATAGCAAAGCCTATAGGTTCTATGTCATAGAACCAAATGACTATATAGCCGTTCACACGGTCATTGAGTCAAGAGATGCATTGTTCGACGAAAGTCGGTTTTCTTCGGTGGATAAACCACATAGTTTTGTACCTAGTTTGAGTGATCGAACAAACGATCAAGAGGACGGGCCAAGTGAACCTCGTAGAGGTAAACGTATTAGGAAAGCAAAATCCTATGGTCCAGACTTTCAGATGTACCTGGTGGAAGGTACTAATGAGTCAATCGTGACTCAGCTCGCTTATACATATAATATCAAGGGAGATCCTAGGACGTATGATGAGGCGATGAGATCGCAAGATGTCGCATTCTGGAAAGAAGCGATAAATGATGAGATGGACTCTATCATGAGCAACAACCCTTGGATCTTAGTAGATCCTCCTCCAGGTTGTAAACCGATTGGTTGCAAGTGGATCTTCAAGAAGAAGATGAGAGTCGATGGAACTATTGATAAGTTCAAGGCTCGTCTAGTAGCTCATGGCTTTAGACAAAAAAAGGTATCGATTATTTCGATACATATGCACCGGTAGCTAGAATAGCTACGATAAGATTATTGGTCGCTCTTGCTTCGATCAAAAATCTTGTAATTCACCAAATGGATGTCAAGAATCGGGTCAAACATACAAAGTGTGCAAGTTAGTCAAATCATTGTACGGGTTAAAGCAAGCACCCAAACAATGGCATCAAAAGTTTGATGAGGTGATATTGGCTAACAGGTTTCGTCTGAATCAATCAGACAAATGCGTATATAGCAAGTTTGACGAGAATGGTCATGGAGTTATTATTTGCTTATACGTGGATGATATGCTCATATTCGGTACAGAATTAGAGCAAGTCAAGAAAACAAAAGATTTCTTGTCATCGAAGTTTTCGATGAAAGATCTAGGAGAAGCGGATGTTATCCTTGGAATTAGGATAATGAGAGATCACGGTCGATTTCACTCTCTCAATCCCACTACGTTGAGAAAGTGTTAAAACGTTTTGATCTCTACGAGAGTACTCTGGTTTCTACACCGATGGACTGTAATGCTAAATTAGTAGCAAACAAAGGGGAACCAGTGTCTCAACTTGAATATGCTAGTGTCATTGGATGTTTAATGTATGCTATGACTAGTACTAGACCCGACATAGCATACGCGGTTAGTAAGTTGAGTAGGTACACTAGTAACCCGAGCGTACATCATTGATATGCTGTACAGAGAGTATTTCGATACTTGAAGCATACCATAAATCACGGTCTTCGCTACATGGGTCAATCTTCAGTGTTAGAAGGATATACGGATGCGAGTTGGAACTCTAGTGAAGAGGATCATGCTTCGGTGAGTGGTTGGCTGTACCTACTAGGTGGAGCTGCGATTTCTTGGACCTCCAAGAAACAAACTTGTATTTCGGATTCGACGATGGCGTCAGAATTCATTGCCTTAGCTTCTGCGGGAAAAGAAGCAGAATGACTAAGGAATCTGGTATTCGAGATACTGTTATGGCCTAAACCGATATAGCCTATCACAATACATTGCGATAGTGCAGCAACGTTGGCTAAGACATATAGCCATGTATATAACGGAAAATCTAGACATATTGGTTTACGACATAGCTATGTGAATGGTCCAAATGAGTTCCGTAAAAGAAAATAATAATGCCAAATGATTAACAATATTAGGCCCTCATGTTTTCTTGTCTGTGCATTCTTGAACGAGCAATTCTAGAACGATTTCTCTTCATCGTATTTCAGAATCGTATTCGGTAGTCCTTACTCGTAACGGACGGAATAACGGTTTTAGGAAAGTGTCTACACGCCTTGAAGAGATATCCGGTCCCTCGGTTCGATTTCATTCTCGTTTATCCGTTGTTTTTCCTCCATATTTCTAACAATGTAATGTTCAGTTCATTGGAAAACGTCCATGACGAGCTTCTAGATCATGTCTGATTCGTTGGCCCTAATAACGAAAATGTGCCGACAACCATCGTTTTTGTTGATTATAAATGCACTGGTTTTGTAAAGTAGTTAAAGTTTTAAATTTGGTATGGTATTTAAAATGTGGATAAATATGTGAGATTAGGAATATGAAGAATATATGGTAGAAAATTAGGTAAAAATACATTAAATAAATGTGTTAGGTGTGGAATTAGACATAAATTATAATATAAAATTGATGTTGGCTGTATGAAAGTAAAAATCAAGGAAAAGAGAAATAAAAAAAACATCTGTTCTACCAATAATTTCAAATTCAATCCAAATTTTCTTTATAATCATAAACAGTAAAAAATCTGTTTCCTAAATTCTAACGCGTTTTCGTCAGGGCTTATAAGTAAGAAGCAGAACAAACCATTTATCAGAATGCTCGCTTGACCCAAATTTAAATAAAAGCAATGACTTTGTTTGCCAAAGGGTTATTTTTGTAATTTGACACAATCTTTTCGTTCCCCCAAAATTAAAAGGAAAAATAAAAAACAAAGAAGCATTTTGTTGCCGCCAAAAGCTCTAGGCTTGTTCCCATTTCGGAGGAGTGCGCTCTCGACAATGGAAGACGAAGACGACGAAGAGATCTCTACCTCCTCCGATTCCGGTGATTCGACCGAAGATTTTGACGTCGATCCCGATGATTCCGCCGGTGAGAACGAAAGTTCCGACGAAATCGCTGAATCGGAATCTCTCGCGGCGGTTTCTCCGCCATCCAACGCCGACCGGAAATCGAAGAACGTAGATGAACTCATCAGGTGCGAACTTGGAGCTACTTTTGCTCGATTTTCAATCTGAACTTTAACTCGATACGTTCACAGGTTTCGCTCGCTTGCGTATTCGGTATATAGAGTGTTATTAGTTCGGGATTTTAGGGTTCTAGTGCAGATTTGGGGAATTAGTGTTGAGTTACCTCTGATTTGAAATTTGGATTTTCTGGTATGATTTGTTTACCCTTGATAGCTGGGAAACGAAGATTATGATAATTGAAGCGAATGTGAATTTTCCCGTGTCTGGAGTAGTTTCTCGTTCCATTGCTGATGTTTCTCTCTGTTGGCAGTTAATGTTAGTTCCTGTAACTGTACAATAGATAAGACAATGTAAGCAAGTGCAATAAGCCTAGTGGTATAATCTTTTGACTGACAATGGTGCTTAATGGCTGAGGTATATCAAATGGGTATTTGGCAATTCATTGAAATATAGAGATTCCAGAGAATGATGATTTTTTTTATAAGAAGAATGATGATTTTATGAAATTTGGAGTGAAAGTATTGAGTGTTCCGTGGGTGTGATAGAGGTAACCTGGTCGTGTGGAGGCAACCGCTTCTCCCTAGGGTGCTTTATGTTTCGGAAGGCGCTGCAGTTTGTAGGAAGCCCTTCAAGCCTCCATGTCCCAGTGGTTACAGTACTACCAATGGACAACTTGCTCGTCGCCTTTGGGCTCGCAAACGGTTTGTGCCTTGGGGTTCTTCAGCACCGGTGGAGGTCGCAATATCTTTTAAGTCTAATGTACCAGCTGAAATTGAGAAAGATGAGGAAGAGGAAATATTGCCTCTGCCCCCTGGTATTGATCCCTTGATATTATGGCCACCTGAAGAACCTGAGGATGGAGTGAGCAATTTAACAGCTATATCAGTGGATCCGTTGCTTGTCCGTTTTCTTCGTCCTCATCAGAGGTATTCCTTCTGTATCTTAAAAGTGACATCCAATAGCCTATGTGGTGCAAATCTATCATGGTTTCCAAACTTTCTTGTATGCCTTTACCATATTTGAAAGTTCTCGAAGCATTCATTGCTACTGCTACTGCTACAATCATGTCAAATTTTGCTCTGTTTTTTATTTTAAATCCTGAGTTAGCAGCGGGTGAATATTGCAAACCATTATTGGCTATAAATTGTCTTTCATTTACTAACATTATGAGGTGGACTTTTTTTACTTCAGAGAAGGAGTCCAATTCATGTTTGATTGCGTTTCGGGATTGTACGAGTCAGCAAATATAAATGGATGTATTCTGGCTGATGATATGGGGTAGAGTCTATCTTCTCCATTATTTGATATTGAATCTAGAGCCTGTAGAATTTCCTATATAATTTGTTTAGTCTCCTGTGAGTTTTCTTTTTCCAGTTTGGGAAAGACATTGCAGTCCATTACATTACTATACACTCTTATACGTCAAGGGTTTGATGGGAAGCCTATGGTTAAGAAAGCCGTTATTGTTACACCAACGAGTCTTGTAAGCAACTGGGAAGCTGAAATTAAGAAATGGGTTGGAGAAAGGATTCAGCTTATAGCCCTCTGCGAAAGCACTAAGGATGATGTTGTATCTGGAATTGACAGTTTCACTCGACCCCGAAGCTCTTTACAGGTATATCTGCACATCTTTTTTGGTTAACTCTCTAGAGTAAGCACTTATCAGTTATCACTTAGTGTCAACAGGTACTTATCATCTCTTACGAGACATTTCGAATGCATTCATCCAAGTTTTGCCAAAGTGAATCCTGTGATCTTCTAATATGTGATGAGGCGCATAGGCTGAAGAATGACCAGACACTAACAAACAGGGTAACATGCTAATAGCCTAATATATAGTCTTAGTTCTTGTACCTTTACGCTCAGTGCGTTCTTTTCTTTTTAAGTTTTTTTCTTACTTGGAGACATCTTCCAAAACAGGCCTTGGCTGCCTTGCCATGCAAACGCCGGATTTTATTGTCTGGAACTCCCATGCAGGTGAAAGAAATGATGCTACACACTTTAGCATTCAAGATTTATCTCCCACTTCTCTTTGTGATGCTTCTTCTTTTGGATTGCTGCAGAATGATTTGGAAGAATTTTTTGCCATGGTCAACTTCACGAATCCAGGAATTTTAGGTGATGCTACACACTTTCGCCGTTATTATGAGGTGAATAGATGTAGAACTTGAATATCTATTTTGACCCTGGGGATCACATCATCTTAAATTTAGTTTTTGATTAATTTGTAACCTTATTGCCAAAATTTCATATGCCGCTTAACCTTTTTTTGACATACTGAGTGTTGCAGCAGTTGAGAAGCTCTTCTATTTCCCGAAATACCATTTATAATAATATAGATCATGTTGCGCTCTCTACGTTATTTTGTTTTTTTTTTCTTTTTGGAATGACTGAATATAGAACATAACATAGATGGAGACCAAGTATTTCCTGGCAACTGTTGAATTGCAGATGTAGAATTGACTTGGTTTCATTGATTGCACGTGCTTTTTCTTTGTTCTTTCTGTTTGTTTTCTAGTTTAGTTGCTTCATTGCTTTGGATGTCATAAAACTCGTGCTACTTTCTAAAATTGTAACTTTTGTAACTAGAAAATCGGTTTGTGCTCCTTTTTTTGGTCGTCGTTGGTTTTTGCTTTTCATAATGTCATACATATTCATACCGACTGACTTTTATATTATTACTTACATTATTTCGCTGGATGCATCCTTGTCTTGATATATGGAAAACAAATTAAGTCACCGATTATTATGGGAAGAGAACCTACAGCTACTGTGGAAGAGAAAAAATTAGCAACAGATCGCTCTGCTGAGCTAAGTTCAAAAGTCAATCAGGTAATTCTTTCTCATTTTGTATGCGACTATTTGCTGTTATTTTCATCATCTGTATATATGTCTTATGATGTTAAAATGTGTCTTGGAATGGTTTTGCTTTTGTTGCTTTTGACAAACGAAAAACCTCTTTTGGAGTATGTCAGGAATAATCGTTTGCTCTTTTGCCATGCCTCACAGAGACCATTTTCTCCCTTTTTTTGCAGTTTATTTTGAGGAGAACAAATACATTGCTTTCAAATCACTTGCCGCCTAAGGTTCTTATCTCTCTCTACTTGCCAAGTTTCTGATAATGGTTTCTTCAGATGCTTGGGAACACGTAAATGTCAATGAAATTATAAGTATTACCTTTATTTCACCAAAACAAAAAATAAAGCTCCTCTTTTCTAGCTACAATTTCTTCCATCTGCTCTTCAAATTTTTTGAAGTAAAATAGATACAACTTAACAATCTTACTGTTGTATGTCATGCAGATAATTGAAGTGGTTTGTTGCAAGATGACACCTCTCCAATCTAACATGTACAATCATTTTATAAGCTCAAAAAATGTAAGGGTTAATCACAGTCAATCTCGATACTGTGTTAAATATAAAAGTTTTAATGACATACTATTGGTTGTCTCTGATGCAGCTTAAAAGGGCAATTGCTGATAAAGCAAAGCAATCGAAAGTGTTGGCTTATATTACAGCTCTCAAGAAGCTCTGCAATCATCCAAAGGTGCATATCTTGTTCTGAATCCCTTGTATAAATTTAATAGAATTCAATTATCTGTGTCACTGGGGGACAAATCAAACCGGTTCCTACTTTCTCAACTCAGTCTCAGAGTTCGAGATGTGGAGGTACCTTCAACATGTAAAATGTTATAATTTGTGTTGAACACAACTCGAGATATTATATATCCTTGCCATCTTTATTTTCTTTTCTAGACTTTTTACACTGGAGCAGTCCTTTTGTTTTCTTCCCCTTTATAATAGTGCTCTTCTTTCTATGTAGCTAATCTATGACACAATTAAGACCGGCAGCTCTGGAACTATGGGATTTGAGGATTGCTTAAAGTTTTTCCCTCCAGAAATGTTCTCGGGGAGGTAGGTTTCTTTCTCTGTTTAGAGATTCTGCATATGTGTTTGTGCAAGTGTCACTATTTGTAATTTCAATGGAACTTTCTTTTCAGATCTGGTACATGGACTGGTGGTGATGGTGCTTGGGTCGAGCTTTCTGGGAAAATGCATGTTTTAGCCCGGTTACTTGCCAACCTACGCCAGAGAACTGATGACCGTATAGTCCTTGTCTCAAACTATACTCAGGTATGCTGAACAATGTTCATTCAGGTTGGAAATAGAAGCTATTGTTATTAATATGAATGGTTGCTAGCATCTAGTGGTATCCATACAACCATTTCTACTGGATGCCTCTGTTGAGACGTTGAACAGCTTCAGATACTAGTCGTCTCTGGTTTGGGCTGAATTATGGACGTTGCATTTCTTTCTGATTAATATCCCAATATAGTATGCTTTATGTCATTTAGAATCTAAAGAGCTACGGTAAATAGGTGATATTTGCATGTCTTTGGCGAGAGGCAAAAAAGGGGAACTAATCCTTGTAAAATTTGTGAATAATTTGTCCATTTATATAAAAAAAGTAATTGGCTTTTCGAAAATCAAGAAAAAGGTGAACTAAACTAGTTTCTCATTGTTTACTTGCACATTATGAGCATATGATAAGTCCTGCATGTGAACAGATATAGTGGTTAAAAATCCTCAGCATGTGTGGAAACATTTTTATAATCCCTTTGCGGTCAAGTTACACATAAACGTAGTTTGAATATGATTCTAACTTTGTACCGATTTTGCCAGACACTGGATCTTTTTTCGCAACTTTGCCGTGAAAGGAGATACCCTTATCTTAGGCTGGACGGAACGACAACAATAAGCAAGAGGCAAAAACTTGTTAACCGGTTCAATGACCCGTCGAAGGTGTGCAACTTTACCTAGATGCTTTTTTTGGCATGTTTTTCAGATCCAATTATAAGTTTTGATATAACTTCTTACGGTTCTATAGGACGAGTTTGCGTTTCTATTAAGCAGCAAGGCAGGTGGTTGCGGCCTAAATCTAATAGGTGCTAATCGACTTGTTCTCTTTGATCCCGATTGGAATCCCGCCAATGATAAACAAGTAAAACTCCTCATCCTCACCTCCCCTTAAAATTATCCAGAAAACTATGCTAAATTCTATGTTGATAGAGTATTGATTCTTCAAGATTTGTCTGTTTCATACAGGCTGCTGCTAGAATCTGGAGAGATGGACAAAAGAAGAGAGTCTTTGTCTACAGATTTCTGAGTACTGGAACTATAGAAGAAAAGGTATTGCGTAAGACGTAGGGGTGGACGTTTTTACTCGAGACCCGCAGATTTACGGATACTAGGCTTCGTGCAACGAGGCCAGAAACCCAGATCGTGGGTTTGGGTTTGTGTTTTTCTGAAATATAACGGGTTATCTCGCGGGTATCGAGTAGGAATAAAATTACATTTATATCCCTACTAGTTTAATATATTTTAAACCATTATATGCCTATTTTGTGTAAATTTACCAAAATACCCCTAAAACCAAGTCAATGAAATTTCACAAGTTTTCGCGGAGCCACGAGTACCTAGGCCGTGGTTACCCAGCTCTCGCGAGACCGAGGCCGGGTAGCCTAAATATCTGGGTACCTGCTTGTGTCCAACCCTAGTGAGATGGATACAAGTGAACTAACTAACTTCTCCATTTTATTTGAGTGTGCCGAGAAAAAGATAAGCTTCTTAACTCGGATTTGTGTTCTACATTTGACAGGTTTACCAGCGTCAGATGTCAAAAGAAGGGCTTCAAAAAGTTATTCAGCATGAACATACAGATACCATAGTGAGACAGGTCTCTTTGCTCGGAATTTATATGTTTTCTTAACTTTGGAGATTTTGTGCTGAATGCATAAATGAATATGAACAGCAACCTATTGGAATTTTTCCAGGGGAACTTTCTCTCTGCCGAGGACTTGCGAGATTTATTCTCTTTCCATGAGAATGTTAGGTTTGTCGAGTTATCGTTTTTTTTTGTTTTCCTTAACAGATGTTCACCTCAATTGTGTGTGTGTGTAGCTCCTAACAGGTTTTTTGTAATGTCGATAGATCTGAAATCCATGAAAACATGAGCTGCTCGAGGTGCCAAAATCTTGATCATGATATCGGGAGTTTCAACAAGAGAAACGACAGCAAACTCGATAACAACACATGTCAGACCGATGGAGACGATATAGGTGGTTTCGCGGAAATTGCAGGGTGCTTGAATGAGTTAAAATGCTCCGAGAAACAGGTATTTCTCGCGCTTTTAATAACCGAATGTTGAGCATTGAAAAATGACTCGGATCTCGTCTCTTGAACCTCTACATTCATCTGATCGTCTTAAAATCGATCTCACAGTTCCGTGCCAAAGTCGTTACTATGACTCAGAATTCATTACCAAGATCCATGTTGTTTGTTCATCTGAGCTTTTGCATGAAATTACCATCAGGTGGGAACTCCATTGGAGGAGGATCTAACTAGCTGGGGCCATCATTTCGCCTCCAAATCAGTTCCCGACACTATATTGCAAGCATCAGCTGGTGACGAGGTAAGGGGTGGCCAATTTCGTTAATAACGGAATAATACATTATCATAATCGAATCCGATATAAAAAAACTAAATGGTTATAATGGATCTTAAAATGGAAAAAAAAAACAGAATGTAAACTAAATCTAACATTATAAATAGATGACTGAAAACCCGATTTTTTTAATCGATTATTTTTATCGATAAAATCGAACTCAAAGTGAACTGATACCGAAATAGAATCAGACCAACCCAAATTCAATATAAAAATCGAATATTTATAGGTTTTATAAAAGCGAAATAATTAAACCGGAATATAACAAAACTGAATTCGATATAAAAAAAACGAATGGTAAAATGAAAAAAAAAAGAATCTGAATAGAATAATACTGAATAAAAAATAAGCAAAATTTGAAAATTGTTTTGGAAATTTAATATTTTATTAATAAAAACTGAACCCGAATCGAAATAGAATCGAACTGGCGAACAACAACAACAACAACGTCTCATTCCCAAGTTCATTTGGGGTTGTCCGCATGAATCCTTCTTCTCCACTCATTTCGATCTCGGGTTAACTCTTTCGAAATCTGTAACACTTCCAAATTGTTTCTAATGACACGCTCTCAAATAAGTCTAGGTCTACCTCTTCCTTTCTCACCCCTATACCTGTACTCTTCACTTTTCTAATCGGTGCATCTATCGGCCTACGCTGTACATGTCCAAACCATCTTAAACACCCCTTTCGTACCTTCTCCTCGATACCTATCATAAATATTACTCCTATTTTCAGAATCGAATTGGCGAAATTTAATAAAAATAAATTGAATGGCTATTGTTTTCTTAAAACCGAAATAATTGAACCCAGATATATAATTGAACCCAGATATAATCAAATCTAAACCCGAAATAGTCACATCTAAGAAGTCATACCGGGTTTTGCAAGACAAACCCTAAATTACGAGTCCTTAAACATGGGATTTGTAATAGAATAAACATTTAGGAACTTAGAAAAACACAATTCTGATGAACTTTCAAATGCCATTGCAGGTGACATTTGTATTCACAAATCAGGTAGACGGAAAACTCGTACCGATCCAATCAAATGTCGGTACCAAGACTCAGGAACACGGAAAACTGAAACCGAACATAACTATTATGGGCGGCGGATCCAGCAAGTTCCAACGAGTTAGGGAACCGTTGCAACCATTGTCTCTTAATGAGACAGTGAAAAGGGTAAAACTCTCTGCTTATAAGCTCCCTTTGAATCGTATTAATTTGGTACCGTTGAGAACACCAAATCTCGATTCTGTTAGTCACGATGATGATTTTGTGTGACATAAATCTTTTTTTGGTTTTATACTCTTATCATAATATTTGCAGATTCTTGTATTCCTTTTGGCAAAATCCCAGAATAGAAAAAAAAAAGGTTTGTTTTGAGCGAATCTTTCATCAAAAATCATAAAATTTTCTAAAAACTTTCAATAAGTACATAAATTTTACAATTTCTAATATACGAATTCATATTACAGCTATCATATTTTCACATTACCATTAATACCCTTATTTTAACAGAATTTTTTTAAAAAATATAGAAAACTATATTATCTATGTCATAGTACTCGGTTGCATATTCATGTTTTCCTTTCACAAACCCGAGATGGACAGACAATAGATGCGACAAAATACGATTTTTTGAAAACTATATCGTTGTATTGGAGAAAATTATATCAACTTTTATTTTATTAATCAAATACCATTTTTTTAATGCTGCGGCAATAAGTACTAATTTTCTTATTAAATTTTAGCCAAACCAAATACCCTGGTAAAATATAGATATACTAATAAGAGCTTAAATGAATGAAGAGATTAAACCACATACCCTCGTGTATTATTATTACATGTCCTACAACTTCACCCTTTGTTTCATAATCTTTAATATTTTGTTTTAGTATCCTTTTGTATTGGTTATTATTAGTTTGTCAGTTTTTTAACGAATTTTTTTATATAAGCAAAACAATTTTCCAATTGTATTTAAAGGCAATGATCAATCGAAATATTAAAAAAAAAATATCCCACTCTTTTACATTTTTTTCTGCATTTCCTTTATTTTCTCAATAAACGAACACCCTTTCTTTGGATTTTAAAATGATTGCATCGATTCCATTTTACCAAACTGGATTAGTCATCTCTAGTTTTATTAGCTTTAGACTCGCCTAAAATAATTACGAATTTAACTGATTTAAATTTGTACCAATTGTTGGACCAAGCCACAAAATATTGAATAATGAATTACGAAATTTTAAAAGATTTAATTGCTTTGGAAAAAATTATTTTATTTGGGTTTAGAAAAAAAAATCGGTAGTTTTTTAACTGTGATTAACTGTTTTGTTCAAATAACTGGTGTTTACTTCGGCTCTCTCTTTTCAAACTATTAGAAAAAGGAAATCTCTGGAATCAGCTAGAACCAAAAGATGGCTGGGTTTTCCATTTTGGGTCCCACATAAGTGATCCAACGGCTGAAATTGCATCTCCCGAACCTTCTCGAGTCGTTTCACCGACTGTTTTATTTGTATATAGTGATATAGTCTCTCATTTTAGCCTCTGTAAGGCCACGAACACAATCGAAAAATTTCTTAAACCTGTTTCTGTTTGATTTTGTTTGCTGAATTCTTTACCGGCGAAGTTTCGGAGCTCTCATGGCGGGAAAAGGAGAAGGTCCGGCGATCGGTATCGATCTCGGGACGACGTACTCGTGTGTAGGAGTGTGGCAACACGACCGTGTTGAGATCATCGCTAATGACCAAGGTAACCGTACGACGCCGTCGTACGTCGCCTTCACTGACACCGAGCGTCTAATCGGAGACGCCGCGAAGAACCAGGTCGCGATGAATCCTACCAACACCGTGTTTGGTAAGATTTCAGTAGCACCGAGTCACTCTCTTTTGTTTTGGTTTTTGGGTTTATAGTACTGGGACTGGGGCTTAGGTTTGGACGATCGGTTTGGATTTTGTTGATACATGTATTCAGGTCATGTGTTTTCCTTTCGGTTTGCTGTGGTTATTTCTCTTCAGTTATAGGAAATCTGAAAGAAGTCCTGTATGATAGGTTAGAACAGGATTCTATGGTCCTGGAATTTTCAGGATTGATTGGCGATGAAATTATCTAGCTCATGTTTGATTGTGGCATAAGTTTCCACTAATGATTTTGCTGTACGTGATGAGGCTTCAAAGATTGTTTCTGAATTCTTTTATATTGTTTTGAATTGTTGAGTAGGGTGTACATTTCTTCGATTTTGTGTTCATCCTCCTCCTGATGGTTTCTGTGTATTTGGTTTCTCTGATCGTTTCTTTGAATTGGGTTTTCTGTGATATCAATTTGCAGATGCCAAGCGTCTCATCGGTAGAAGATACAGCGATCCATCGGTCAAAGCCGACATGAAACTGTGGCCATTCAAGGTCATTTCAGGTCCTGGTGACAAACCTATGATCGTGGTCAATTACAAGGGCGAGGAAAAACAGTTCTCTGCGGAGGAGATCTCTTCCATGGTTCTTACGAAGATGCGTGAGATTGCCGAGGCTTATCTCGGCACGTCCGTGAAGAACGCCGTGGTCACCGTACCGGCTTATTTCAATGACTCTCAACGTCAAGCCACCAAAGACGCCGGTGTCATTTCCGGCCTCAACGTCATGCGTATCATCAACGAGCCCACTGCAGCTGCCATAGCTTACGGTCTCGACAAGAAAGCTTCGAGTGTTGGCGAGAAGAACGTTTTGATCTTTGATTTGGGCGGTGGAACTTTCGATGTCTCGTTGCTTACCATCGAAGAGGGTATCTTCGAAGTTAAGGCAACTGCCGGTGACACTCACCTTGGAGGTGAGGACTTTGACAACAGAATGGTGAATCATTTTGTTCAGGAGTTCAAGAGGAAACACAAGAAAGACATTAGCGGAAACCCAAGATCTCTGAGGAGATTGAGGACAGCTTGCGAAAGGGCGAAGAGAACCCTCTCGTCCACCGCTCAGACGACGATTGAGATCGATTCCTTGTACGAGGGTATCGATTTTTACACCACAATTACCCGTGCGAGGTTTGAGGAGCTCAACATGGATCTCTTCAGGAAATGCATGGAGCCAGTGGAGAAGTGTCTGAGAGATGCTAAGATGGACAAGAACAGTGTCCATGACGTTGTCCTCGTTGGTGGGTCCACTAGAATCCCTAAGGTGCAGCAACTTTTGCAGGATTTCTTCAATGGCAAGGAGCTTTGCAAGAGCATTAACCCGGACGAAGCTGTTGCCTATGGTGCAGCCGTTCAAGCCGCCATCTTGAGCGGTGAGGGCAACGAGAAGGTACAAGACCTCTTGTTATTGGATGTCACGCCATTATCACTGGGTCTTGAGACGGCAGGCGGAGTTATGACAGTGTTGATACCAAGAAACACTACGATTCCAACCAAGAAAGAACAGGTCTTCTCGACTTATTCGGACAACCAGCCCGGTGTCCTGATCCAGGTCTACGAAGGGGAACGGGCCCGGACAAAGGACAACAACCTCTTGGGCAAGTTTGAGCTGACGGGCATTCCACCCGCACCGAGAGGTGTCCCTCAAATCAATGTCTGCTTTGACATCGACGCCAACGGTATCCTGAATGTGTCAGCCGAGGACAAGACCACGGGACAGAAGAACAAGATCACGATCACAAACGACAAAGGAAGGCTGTCCAAGGAAGAGATCGAGAAGATGGTCCAAGAAGCTGAGAAGTATAAGGCCGAGGACGAGGAACACAAGAAAAAGGTCGAGGCCAAGAACGCGCTCGAGAATTATGCGTACAACATGAGGAACACGATCCGGGATGAGAAGATCGGGTCGAAACTTAAACCCGAAGACAAGAAGAAGATCGAGGATGCCATCGAGCAAGCAATCCAGTGGCTCGATGGAAACCAGCTCGCGGAAGCTGACGAGTTCGAGGATAAGATGAAAGAGCTTGAGAGTATATGCAATCCGATCATAGCTCAGATGTACCAAGGCGGTGCTGGAGCTGACATGGACGGTGCTGGTGGAATGGATGATGATTGTGCTCCTTCGGCTGGCGGTGGCCGCGGTGCTGGTCCGAAGATTGAAGAAGTCGATTAAGCGGAGATCGAGTCAATTTCTTGACCAAGTCTCTGCCGCTATCTTTCTTCCCAGTTTCTTGGATTTCCCGGTTATGGTACTGCGGTTGTAGACACCGGTTATGTTGTTTTAAATACCGGTTTTGTTTTCTTTTCGTGTAATGAAATTTAATAACTTGCATGTGATGTGAAGTAAAAACGTATGCATTATAGGGGTTCGATTTAGGTTTGATTCGATTGGATTTTACATATTTAAAATTATAATCGAATTATAACCGATCTGTTTCGATTATAATATTAAAACGTTTATAATAAAAAGATGTTCAAACAAAATATAATAAAAAATACTATCCATTTTAACATATAAAATAATAAAATTTAAATTTAAATTATAATTTATTTTGACATAAAAAAAGATAATAATTGTATAAAAATATCTGAATTTTTATAATTTTTTAAATAAATATCTAATTATAAAATTATTAGATAAATATCTGAAAATTTTCAAACTCCCGTATCCAAATTTTAAAAATTTTTCCAAATCAAACCGCCATTATTAACAACAGTGTTAAACGAATCAGATTTCAATCCAAAAAACTGATGATTCAATATTCGAAAATATTATTAAACATCCACATGTTCAGCCACGTCAGAAGTTCTGTTTAATTAACCGGAACGGTATGATAAAAGATCAATCCGATTTGTTTTTAAAAAAAACCCTAACTAGTTCATGTCCAACCACCATTTATCTTCTCTGATTATTTCTGTTCTCCATATCTTTCTGCTCTTCATGGTCATATTTAAATCTTAAGACAACAAATTTATAAAAGTAATTTCTAAATAGAAGTTTACAAAAGAAACAAAATCATCCATCAAACCATTACAGAATTATGAAACAAAAAATTTCAGCCAATAAAAAATTCTGAATAAAATTTTTTTTAGGCAATACAGAATTCCAAACCAAAAAATATTAACCCAACGGAATTTCCAAAACAAAATACAAAGTCCTAATAGAAAAAACCGAGTTTAATGATTTTCTGAGTTTGATGGAGGAGCCGGTCTTGGAATCTAAAATACTCGAACTCCACTCCGTTCACCGTTAATCCACCTATGTAGCAAAGTTCTCCATCCATATTTGTCATTGTTCCTCCCATATAAAAATTCACCCGGATTATGTTTGTCATTGTTCAAACCTAACATAAAATGTATCTGTTAATGGCGTTAAAAACTTATTTTCAACCCAAAATCGAGCCTAAAACCGGAACTGACATATACCCATAAAACTCTATATCCTAATTTCGGAAATAAACTTAGAATTGGACCTATACCCATAATTGAAAGAGAGTAAATTAACCAGACACCGACGAAGATCGAACCCAGACACCGATGAAGATTGAATCTAGACACCGACGAACAATAGACCAGACTCGAACCCAGAGTCCATAGACCAGTGATTCAAAAGAGAGACTCGATTCTACAGACTCGAACCCAGACTCAAACAAATACTCGAACCGAGACCGATGAAAGAGAGTCCAGAGACTCGAACCCAGACACTGACGAAAGAGAGAGTCCAAGACTCGAACTCAGACACCGACGAAAGAGAGAGAAGGTGAGATACCGAGAGAGTTAACAAATTATTGTTTGATTTGGAAAACTTTTAAAATTCTGGATATTTATGTGGGAGTTTTGAAAAATTCAGATATTTATCTGACAATTTTATAGTTTGGGTATTTATGTTCGTAAAAGTTCATGTATTTTTATGCGATTATCACAAAAAACAACAAAATAAAATATTTAAAATAAATTTAACCTTTTTAAAGTATAAACCCTGATATAATAAAATAAAGATAAAATAAATTAAAATAATAAAATAATGATTAAATTATATTCAATATATATGTCATTTTGTTATATACTATAATTACAAAACAATATCATTATATTAATTTTTTTAATTAGAATTTATTTATATATTATATATTAATGGGTGATATAAGTAGATAAACATTTAATATTCGATTTATTCAATACAGTTAATTCGAATTCGGTTTACGGTTATTTGGAGTTCAGTTATTTCAAATTTTAAAAAATCATAACCAATCGGTTATTTAGTTTTAATCGGTTCGCTTCGGTTAATAACCAATTAACTGAACCGAATGTCTACCCCTAGTGCATTCTCATTTATGCATTCTAAATGAGAGATGACAAAAGTCAATTTAAGTTTGAATATATTGGTCAATTCACCAATAGGTACTGTTATTGACCAAATATCGCACACATATATTCGTTTATTTGAATAGTTGTGAAAAAATATTTATATTAGTTAATTTCAATTATACGAACCAATAAAGTTTATAATCTTCATTTACTGGAATATATATATATATATTAATACATCGTTTTCACATCATTTGACTTCCCCACCAACTAATCTCGATTTTATAATGACGTTTATCTTACCTTTTTCTTTATTATAATTATAAATATTTCATTTTCATTTTATTTCCCTATTTTTTTATAAATTGGATCAGTGATTATAATAGTGGCATTGCTTTGGTTAGAGGACTCCCACTCCATTGCTAGCGTTGAGTATCCTAATCTGAATAAAGAAGGGACTCTTAAATTATTTTTTATCATAAGCTTAATCATATCTTAAAATATCATATATAATGTCTCCCAATCGAATTTCAAACCGACACATAATAAAGTTATCTTATATTAACTGAATCCGAATTATTATAAACGGAATTCTAATCTTACGGACACACAGTGATATCAAATGATTCAAACCGATCTCTTATAATTAACCGATATGATCTTCGGTTTTGTCTTGTGGTTTCTACAAATCTCTCGGTTTAATTAAATCGAACCGGGACCAAAGCTTCTGCGTCAGTCAAAGGCTTCTTCTCACACTTCCGAGAGCTCGAAGTAATCAATCAATCATCGCTAACATTATATATTAATATCTGTAACTCTGTAACCATCTCTTCTACACAAATCACATGTTTGGAAACGGGCTCATTTTTATCATAGGTCTATATATAATCAAACGAAATTTACATAGCATGATTTATTATATATATATATATATATATATATATATATATATATTTGTTGACAAGTAATTGAGTTTTTAAAATTAGAAAAGTTATATCACCCTCAGCTTTAATTTTCGTTTTCCTGATCAAGTTTACTATAATAACATAAGGATCAACATATCATGCTAATTTTTTTTTTCTGAATTAAAAAAAAAAGAAATGCTAATAGATATCTTTCTTTCTTTTCATTAGCAAGGAACGTAACACTAGTTGGTGTTATAAGTGGATAAACAGTTATATTCGATTTATTCAGAACGGTTTATTCAGAACGGTTTATTCGGATTCGATTTATTTGGTTTATAGTTATTTTGGGTTCGATTATTTCAAATTTTAAGAAATTATAATCAAACGGTTATTTAATTTTAATCGGTTCGATTTGGTTCGGATATATATCGGTCTTTTCGGTTAATAACCAAAATAATCGAACTGAATTTTCACCCCTAGTGCATTTCAAATGAGAGAAGACAAAAGTCAACTTAAGTTGAATGTATTGGTCAATTCATCAAGGGTACCATTATTGAACGAAAATCGCATGTATATATTCGGTTACTTGAATACAATGTGAAAAAAAATATTTGTATTAGATAGTTTTAATTACAAGAACCAACTAAGTTTAATGATATTATTTTTTTAGAAGAATTAAAAATACAAAAAAAAATCTTAATCTTTATTTATTGAGAATATATATATATATGTATTTTTTTTGTTGACAAGTAATTATGTTTTTAAAATTAGAAAAGTTGTATCACCGTCAGCTCTAATTTTCGTTCTCCTAATCAAGAGCTTACAACAATATCATAGTGATCAACATATCATGCTGATTTTTTTTCTGAATTAAATAAAAAGAAATGCTAATGGATATGTTTCTTTCTTTTCATTAGTAAGGAACATAATAATAGTTGGCGATATAAGTGGATAAACAGTTATATTCTGTTTATTTAGAACGGTTAATTTGGATTCGATTTATATCGGTTTATGGTTATTTTGGGTTCGGTTATTTCGAATTTTAAGAAATTATAACCAAACGGTTATTTAATTTTAATCGGTTTGATTTGGTACAGATATATATCGATCGATTCGGTTAATAACCAAAATAATTGAACCGAATGTCCACCCCTAGTGCATTCTAAATAAGAGAAGACAAAAGTCAACTTAAATTTAATATATTGGTCAATTCATCAATGGTATCGTTATTGACCGAAAATCGTACGTTTATATTTGTTTACTTGAATACAATGTGAAAAAAATATTTGTATTAGATAGTCTTAATTACACGAACCAACTAAGTTTAATGTATTATTTTTTAGAAGAATTAAAAATACAAAAAAATCATAATCTTTATTTCTTGAGAATGTATATATATATATATTTTGTTAACAAGTAATTGAGTTTTTAAAATTATAAAAGTTGTACCACTGTTAGGTCTAATTTTCGTTCTCCTGATCAAATCTACCACAATAACATAAGGATCAACATATCATGCTGATATTTCTTTTTTTTTTTTCTGAATTAAAAAACAAAGAAATGCTAATTTATATATTCTTTCTTTTCATCAGTAAGGAACGAAACACTTGTTGAAAATATAGATGAATAAACGGTTATATTCAGATTATTCAGTACAGTTAATTTGGATTTGATTTACGATTATTTTGTATCCGATTATTTCGAATTTTAAAAAATTATAACCAAAAGATTATTTAATTTTAATCGGTTTGGTCGGTTCAGATATATATCGGTCGGTTCGGTTAATAACCAAAATAATTGAACCGAATGTCCATCCTTAATGCATTCCAAATAAGAGAAGACAAAAGTCAACTTTAAATTGGATGTGTTGGTCAATTCACAAATGAATACCGTTATTGACCGAATATCGCATGTAAATATTTATTTACTTGAAAACGGTGAAAAAAATATCTGTATTACATAGTCTCAATTACACGAACCAACTAAATTTAATGATATTATTTTTTTAGAAGAATTAAAAATATAACAACAAAATTCATAATCTTTACTGAGAACATATATATATGTTTTTTTTGTTGACGAGTAACTGAGTTTTTAAAATTATAAAAGTTGTATCACCGTCATGTCTAATTTTCGTTCTGCTGATTAAACCTGCCAAAATAACACCAAGAT